AGGTACAAATTGCCTACGAGGCATGTGGTCATTGTGCACACCTCCAATGTACTGATAAGCTTAAAACAAAGATTAATGAAAAACTGAGTTTGAAAAATTAACTTTCATTATAGACCACAAGCCTGAGATTTAAAATAGCTAATTTTTCATTTTTTTATATCTAATTGAAGATGGTTCACATATCTGCTGGCTTTTAAAGATGTCTATATCCATACTCTGGGATTTTTTTTTTCTTGGCAATTTAGCAGCTCAAAGGCATGAGGCCCCAAGCTGCTCCAATGGATGTGTGTTCACCATTAACCACCAAATGAACCCATTTTCCTTCGGCATCCCATGTTACACTGAAGATACTGCGCAGCATCTCCCATGCTTTCTGGAACTGCACACAAGTCATGTTTCAGAGTAGCAGAGGTGTGAGGGCCCAAGAAAAAGTTGTAAAACCTCGACAGGAAGACCACATCTGTCGTCCCTACTTTTGTTTTGGCTCTGGTTCCACGGCCTGCTTCTCTCTCTGTGCAGAGGAGTCAGCCCGCCACGAAAGCTGTCCTAGGAAATTGTGTCTCCTGGACTAGCTAGTTAAGCAAATTGTGTAGCTGCCATTAGAACCGAAATGTACCCAGCAGACATGATTTCACCAAAGAGGAGAGAAAACTGCATTTGTAGAGGAGTCACAGCTGTTCAGCTCCACATTTTGCACAATTTTTTTTTTTTTGCATTAGAAAATGTTTCCTTTCCTTATGAACGGTGACAGTTACATTTCTAGTTAGCAGCTTTAAGACTTTTAATACATTGCTAAGCACTGGCTAGCATGGAGTTGGTGTCTGTCAAGAAAAACTGGGCTAAATGCTTTCTGCAGCTACATGGAGGAAAAACTTGGTTTACCTGCCCCGCCTGTAGATGAAATAAGGAATGATGTTGAGGGAGGCTCACTGGCCCCTGAGACTCAGAGCTGTGAGGCTGCATCTGCTCCTCAGAACAGCAGCCCATGTCCCCATGTCCCCATGTTCAGGTCTACCCCAAAAGGACTTCTCTTCTTCAGGTCTTGCTTCCAGTGACTGTGGTGCTCAGGACCACTCTGAAACCGTGGGGAGGGCTATGGACAAGGTGGCCCACATTGCTTCAGCAGCGTTCTGCGTGTCTCCTCATCCTGGGAGGGCAGGACCACCTCCCAAGGCTGGCCAGCCATCTGGGCCCCTGCGTGAAGGGCAGGGAACATTCTCAAGTGAGTCCTAGTTCCTTCAAGTGGGCAGTCTCAAAGTTTTGTTGGCCCAGCCTGGATTAGACATGCTAGCTCAATTATTGGAGGCATTTTGAGGGAGAATTTGGAGTCTTGGCTCAGCTGCCAAATGATTGAGATCCAAATTTCAGCTCTTCGCCACGAGAACGTGTGACAGTGGGCAAGTCCCTCTACTTTGTGAGCCGGGGTTTGTTCACCCATAAACTTAAGACAACTTACTTCATCAGCACCATGGAGAGGGCTACAGATGTGGCTGAGACTGCTGAGGACCCAGCCTGGGTCACTGCATGCTCTGAGGACTAAAGCACTCAGTATTTTGGGGGTGTCGTGGGGAGGCTTGCTTGGGTCCTTCTGGCGCCTGAACACACTCCAGTGCAATCTTAAAAGTGAATATGAACACAGTGTGCCCCGCAGAGCTGGGGCCGCGGTTCATCTCCCTGGGCTGTGGGGGCGGGGGCAGAAGTGAGGCACAGCAGGGAAGGTCAGCTGCAGTGGTCAACAGCTGGCCGATCTGGACCCTAGGATTTCTTCTGCTGTGGATTCCAAGACCTCCTCCCTGGCTGTGTGTGGCAGACAGGACAGTGTGTATTTGCGTTGCTGCGCCAGAGTCACGGCACTGACTTCTAGGGGGTGGGGACTGCTGACAGAGTCCCCTGTATGTGGTTCCTATGCCCAGTGGTTGGTCATTTTGAAGGGGGGCTGTTGTCAGCCTGGGTGGATGCCCAGTGCCTATAAACACAGGCTTTCCTGGCCACCAGGGCCCTGCCCCAAGTGTGCTGAGGGTGTACAATTAAACACAAAGAAAGACTGCCTGACAGAGAAGACACTGCCTACTACCAATCATATCAGTTAACCCGAGATTTCATGACCACAGATTGTGCTTTGTTAGATTAATACCAATATTAGCAATAAAATATGATTCTATCAGACATGAACATTAAGGCTATCACTACATTTATGAACATAGGCAGTTTGCATTTATAATTTTGGCATCCATACTGGAAAATATATAAACAACTAAAAGTCTATTATTTTTCTCTATAATTTTTTAGCTGAAACACCCTGGATTGGGAGTGCTGGTAACCACTGTATTTACACATAGACTCATATAAATTCCACAAAGAGGACTTTATATTGATAACAAATATATACAAGAAGAGAGAGCAGGGTGGATGTGAGAGATACAATTAAAATAAATCATGGAGATAAGAGTATTGCAATTAAAACACTTGACAATCTGTGATGTGGTGGAAGATGCTTCTCATTTCAAATAATGCCCACATTATTCAAAACAAATTGAAGTGGCTTAATTATGTCAGTGGATTTTTTTTTTTCCTAAAGGATGTTTTTGAGAAATACTAGTGGAGGTTATTCAACCTAACCTTATCTTTAAGTTTGAATTATCTGCTGATTTATAACAGTTTTTAGCTTGGCTCACACCTCATGACCGGCACTGGCAAACTCTTTGGGCTCCTGGAATGCAGATAAAGAGCATGGTGCCACCAGAAGGAGTTAAGTTATTCTGATACCCTGTGACCTGTGTCCGTGAGTGCACAATAACTTAGTGCAACTGCGTAGCCAGTCACTTCAGCAATGATCAAACATGTCTGTCTACGTTAATTACACTCCATGATTAAACTTTGAACAACTTTTGGCTGATGGCTGTACAATGAAGTCGAGAAACATAGAGGGAAGTATAGTGCACACAGAAACCAATTAAAAGACAACCATTCAAATGCTACTGATAGGAACAGTTTCTCTGGGGCTGTTGGGTCTACCAGTGACAGATCTGTGCTGATGAATGCATGCTTCTGAGATGAAGACAACAGGAAGCGTGAGTGTCTCAGAGGTGTGAGAGGTGACTGGGGCAGACTGAGCAAAACACCATTTCCTCATTGCAAGTCAACTCGAAGGAACTAAGGACACTGGGGAACAATCTGAAGAGTTACAATGCAGCAGGGATCAGAAAACTATGATTTTCAGACAAAATGCTTTGTAAATAAAGCTTAACTTGAACACAGCTTCCCTGGGCTGTATAAGTGTGCTCTGCTTGTTTTCACGCTATAAAAGGCGGAGCTGGGTTGTTGTGACAGAGGTCTACCACTCCCCTCACTATTTCCTATCTGGATCTTTATGGGGTTTACCACTCTGTGACCTAAGGGAAGGCCAGTTTTTTTTTTCACCCAATAATGCCAGAGGGAAATATAGTAAAGAGAGAGTGTGTGTAGCACACTCCAGTTCTATTTCCACATCTAGAACCACCCTAGGTTTCAGATGTCACATGCCCAGAGCAGGCTGCACCAGTGAATTAAGTTAAGCTACTTATTACATTCAGTGTTAATTTTATTCAGGAACAGCAGCTGAATTATCATTATTATTAATAATAACTGAGTATTTTAATTGATTAACAATTGAGTGGGACTCAGAGGTCTTATATCTATTGATGAATGATTCTCACTTGTTTTTGCAATTAGAGCTGCCTCCGCTGTACTTCCCTTTTCTTTTTTTTTTTTTTTTGGTGGAACCAGGGATTGAACTCAGGCCCTTGCACTTGCCAGGGAAGCGCTTATTCCAGTGAGCCATCTCCCCGGCTCCTTGTACTTCCCTTTTCTACCGATGGTGTGTCTTCCCGACTCTAGAGAGTGGATACTGTGTTAAGAGATGAGCCCGTGCTGACTCCACCTGGGCGAGTTTGGGAAGGGGGCACCGCTGCGACACTGGGACTTCCCCAAGAGAAGTGGGGTGAAGGTGGGACTAGTGCTCCTGTGGGAGAGACTAGCGGGCACCAAGGAACATTTGTCTTTCTTATCTGCACCTCCAGCACTGAGCAGGGCTGCCCCCAGCACAGCTGTGTGAATACCCCTACTGACAAAGGTTATTGCCTACGACACTTGGCCCTCTGGCGTTAGCTCATTCTTACGCAGATTATGGTTAGAAAAGGAAAGTTACATTTTGACAAATAATGTCATAGTCTTGTGTTTTTCAACCTCTACACAGTCTGGGCATATAATTCCTATAAGGAATGTGTGGCCTTTGTTCTTAATAATGTTAGGAACAAAATACAGTAGATAAGAATAATTTCTCTTCTATCTGTAGTGGGTTCTGTAAGGATAATTGGTACATTTAATTTTTTAAAATTATGACAATCATTTGATTTTCCTAAGAAAAAACTTGTGTATATAACTGAATCTCTAAAGGTTCTTTACTTTGGATAAAAGGGCACTTAAATGGGACTAGCTCACAGCATAAAATGCATTAATACATTGCAAGCTCTAATGGACAACATAAAATCTAATCTAATGAAAGAGTGCTGTTGATTTAAAATTGAGTTCTAAAAAAGAAGAAAATATATATAAATTTTATTTTATCATTCAACCGGAAAGTAGGGCTGACTCATTTAATTGTTTTTGAAACCTAGTTTAATATGAAATCTCTTCTGCACAACCAGTCAGCTCCCAGCATTTTGATTGCAAAATGAAAGGCATTCACTTCAATATATTTACTTATCATTCATTTAGAGAACAGTATGAAACACACTTTTCCAATTGCTGTTTTAGAGCCATGAGTCAAAGGAAAGGAATGACAAATTAGCCAGCTAGAAAGGCAAGTCACAGCTAACGAGGACTGCTAGCGCCTTTGTGGGTACTTCAGAATAAGATGAAAGAGAAAAAGGGGCTGTCAGCCACACATGCTCAATAAATGAAATCCTAACACAGCTTCGCGACATATTAACGACAAGTTAGTATCACGCTTAGAGACTTACTCAACATAGTAAGTGCCATATACGGGATCATCGATTTTTTCCCAGCCATATGGAAGCTCTGAAAAATAAAAAGTTATTTCTTTCAGTAAGTAAAGAACAGATATCACAGTTTTCTAATAAAAAGTAATAGGATTTAATTATGCATGGGTTACAGAAATGGTCTATCAAAGCAGGATAAAGCATTCAGAGTCCGCACCTAAGTTCAGACACACATTGTGGGAACCAGAAGACGCAATGATTGAAAATTGGCAGCGAAACACCAAGCTCTCTTTCCTGCAGACGCACTGCTGGGTCTGGCTGCCTCATCCATGCCAAGCAGTGGGAAGGCACCGACCACGTCCTCACCGTGGAGTGCGACACAGGCAAGGCAAGCTTCTCAATGTGCATTCGATTCTCTTATTTAGTCGTATTGTTAAAAGAGCATTTTGGGATAAAGATTGTATTTTCAAAACGCATTTCCAAGGGTAGCAAATTATTTATGATGACTGAAACAAGGGGATTATGAAGTCTCAGCTGACATCCCGCTAGTTGAGAGCATTTGCTGGCTGTTCCCACCACATGGGTCAGAACTTGAATGCTTTCTGGGCATATTTTAAAAATGAGACTCAAATTCTATACATCACTTGACAATAAACATCACATTCTCAATGCTTCATTGTTAGTTTTAATATACACTCACATGGAAAATATCAACAGTGTTCTAAATGCTATGCTAGGCAAACCCACATCACGTGAAAGCCAGGCTTTGCGCCATACTATTGCCTTCTGCATTCACTCAGCCTCTGGAATGAACCCAGGCAATTGTGAAGAATATCATATTTTTCTTGACCGAAAATTTCACATGTATAATTGGAAAATTAAGGTATACTGACAAGCTTCAATAGCATATTTAAGTGAAATTTAAACGTTTTATTGTTACAGTATCAATACATAACCACAATAGACAAAGTACAGCAATAGAAAATAAGAACTATCGATGATCCTGCCATCCTGAGATCACCACTATTAATATTTTGGTAAATATCTTTCCAATACCTTTCTACGTCTATATACATAATTCTTTAAAAAAGTACATAATGGTTACATCATGTGTACAGCCTGATGTTCTAGCTGGAAAATGCCAAAGACATCTTTCAGTGTGAATGAAGGCCACTGCACAGAGCCACCTCAAGGGCTGCGCAGGGCGGCGACATGCTAGTCTGGGCTCCTCGGTCCTCCAGGCCTGAGCAGTTGCGGCTTTCTTGTCTTCCTTGTATGTACCATCTGTGGCAGATGAATCCAACCCTAGACTTTTTATTACTTCCTAATAACTTTTAGCAGTGATAATTTCTTGGAGGTAGAATTTGGGATTAAAGGCGTGCACCCTTTCATGGTCTTGATATACGTTGCCAGATCACTACCATCTTGGTCACTAGAGCACCAGTGTGAAGTGTGCTATGATTTTCTCTCTCTGCAGACCCACGTTTTGTCCTCTAATGCTCAGAGAGACACAGGTTTTGGAATTTGGAATTATTCTGATTTTTGAAAGCTCACTTGATGCAATTGCCTTCTCTTCTGTAACACTCTAGGTAAACCTGCAGAAGCACTTTGCTATAAAACACAACAGCGTAACTGCACGCAAACATCTGACTTACAAAGAAGAGACCTTAGTAGACTTCAAACACCAAAAATAGGAGACTGACTTATGGAATCTCTCTTTCAAAATAACAATAGGAGCAAATCTGTGCTGGCAGTCAGTGACTGGGGCATTGATGGATTTTCATGCCCTAATTCATTTTATTGTAACAACTCTGAATTCAAAATTCCTGTACTCTGATTTCAGCAATCTTAACCATTGAGAAACACTAATTATCACATTACAAACATGACTTAATACAGACAGAGAATAACTACCTAGATGTTTTTCACCAAATACAAGCTATTATGGAGAATTTGGCGATTAGAAGTAACACATTTGACATCTACAGAGTCTTTTACAAGCAGCTCAAATGAAAAAAAAATATGCAGAGGATAGCCACTGAGGCTATAGTTATTATTATTTTTTTGTGTATTTTAGGGAAGGATCTACAGGGTGTTTAGGGTCTCAGTACTATATCAGACCTGTAGTGATTCTCTGTTTACAGCCTTCCAAGAGCTGGGATTATAGACGAACACCACCGTGCCCAGTCTCAATTGCCAGCTCAGCGAGCCCCGGAGGTGCGGCCAGCACAGCAGGCCCAGGGATCGAACCCTCAGCCCCTGTGCCTGCTTGCAGGTGCTTTAATCCACTGAGCTATTTGGCCAGCCCTTATAGTTATTATTTGCTTCACTTAATGCATGGGCACAAATGACATTATGATGACACAAATGACACACAGCATTATGAATACAACAGCATACAAATGGTCACACACAAGGAGTAGAAGTCTGATATGCAATTTATAGTCTTACTCTATTCCAGTGCCATATAGAATCATTCAATGGTCAAAATTTTTTGGGGTGGGTTGGTTGTTTTTGAGACAGGATCTTGTTATGCAATTCAGAATGAATTTGAACTCACTACATAGCCCAGGCTGGTTTCAAATCTGTGGCAATCCTCCTTCTCCAGCCTCCCAAGAACTGGGATTATAGGCATGGACCATCACACCCAGGTTATTCATAGTCATTTTTTAAAAACTATCTTTTATGACAGAAATTGTTCCTTCCTTTATTCCTTGCCTTTGGGGGATTGCTAGTTATTCTGAGGGGACATAAATATTAGTTCTAAGTAATCCTACCTGGGGGTGCCAGAGTTCATGGATGATCTTGCCTGATTCACTATGCCAAAGGTCCTCAGAGCAATTTATTATGTACTTTAGGGCAATCTTTTTGTTTTGTTTTGTTTTCACAAGATATATTTTATTTTTTTCTTGCTTGCTTCATATTTCCAAAGCACAATTCTAATTCACAATGAAAGAAAATTGTGCTATAAACCACATGGACTTCACAATCAACTGCCAGTGGTCCTTGACTCACATTGAAGACAAAATGAAGCACTATGGGTCTAATTTTCTATCACAAAGACCTGTTATTTACTTTTAAATATTTTCAGAAAGATATTACAAGAAACCAGACACAGATACCTGTCTCACTGCACTTGTAACTATGACAGGATAGATGTAAAAATACACAACCAAGATTTGAAAAGGTACAAGTGTGTATATATGTGAGTGTGGGTGTAGATGTGTGTGTGTGTGTGAGTGCTGGCATACCTGCATTTTTGTGTGCATTACTCTGAAGCATATTTTCCCTCTTTAAAATCATAAAATAAGCATGGAAGTTTTCTTTTAACTCATTTATAAATATTACACATATTAATGGGGAGCATGTGATATTTCAATACATGTATAATTTGTGTCCTGTTTAAATCAATGTAAATACATCTCAATCCTTAGTTACCATTCTTATGGTGAGAGCTTGCAAAGTCCTTTCTTCTAGGCTTTGAAAATGTACGGTACAGAATTATTATCTATAGTTACCCTACTGTGAAGCAGCATACCTGAATTTTTTACTGTGTCAGCCTGTAATTTAGTACCCAGTGGTTGAGATAGTTTACATATTTATTAAAAACAAAAATCACAATATTCATGTTTTTTACTCACTCATAAAGGGATAAAATGAAAGTCTTGGGATTATATACTTCAGAGTACATATCTTTTGGATAATGAAAAGCTTAAAAAGTTAAGAATTATCTTTTGCTGTGAAAAATAAGTTATTTGCACTTCAATTTGCTTTAAAAAACCAACTGCTTCTTCTCTAAAATCAGCTAACAAATGAGAAAAGGAATTTCAAACACTGCACTATTTGCCCCATCAGGCAAGCATGCTGGAAGCTTTTGAGTCCTCGGTTATTTAGAATTCCATACCCAACAATACTTGAGGAATTCACAGATGATTAAGGTCACACTGCTAAAAAAAATTACACGCACTATACAAGCGGGCAAAGCCAACGCTGGAGGTCAGCAGGGTTAACGCTGCGCTAAGAACTGCTTTAATTGCGATTTTCCTCAGGCTGTGGAACCAGGGAGGACGCTCAGTAGTCATTCCTTCCCTGAAAAAATCAGTGCCAGTGTCTGGATCAATTTGCACTCAGTCGTATGAGCTTTGTAAAACTGGGGTAGAATCAAACTGGGCTATCAGTTCTGCGTGCATTCTGCTATCACTACCAGGTTCTTTTTACTAAACTACTTTCTTCAAATATTATTATTATTTATTATTAATATTATTAATCCATCTTTATTTCAGAACATTGAGTCCTGTAGGATAGAGCATGAAAAATTGCCATTGGGCATCCAAGTAGGAAATTGAAAGAAATCTACGGACCGCATGTCTCCTAGAAGTGACCCAGGAGAGCTGTGAGCAGCCTAGACCCCGAAATTGCAGGGTGTTTCAAAAAGAGCCCCCGTCTGTCTCCCATTGCCCCTCTCTTTCACTCAGTTCTTTGCCACTCTGCACCGCCTTCCTTCCCATCTGCTGCTTGGCTATTTCTGCTGACTCACCTGTTTTTAAAAAAAAATTGTTAAAAATAGTTTTAGTAGTCCATGGCTACAGTTCATAGCTTGCAGTACGTGGCTACATTCATTGTAGGACACTAGGACTTGTACACAACATACCTCATTTCTTATTTTTCCCTTCCTTCCACTCAACTTCTATTTTCCCCAGCGTCAGATTCATAAGTCCTTACAAAGTTAATTATCATGTATACAGATTAACACCCAGCTTACTAGGACAAAAAATATGAAACATATTAAGATAATTATACTAAATCAAGGTGCATTGTTCATGCTTGATTACAACTTTTCTTTCTCTTTTCCTATCATCTGCCTTTTATTTCTCATTATATTTATATATTGAGCTTTTTCATAGATGAGGAACCATGCACTCCTGAACCCTGTGTCTGAATTAGCTCACATTATGGGCTCACAGCCTACCCACGTGTTACAAGTGACTCAAAGAGCCAGTGCGACAGCTGCCTCAGGCTGTGGACCTGTCTAGGTTAATCAGGGAGGGCAGAGCCCACCTCTTGCCACAGTGCCTGTCC